TCATCCCCGTGTATTGTACGCAGTCCAGTTCGATACGAATCTGTTTGTATGCGTCTGTCATATCGATCTTTGATCGATAAGTTACCCGAGCCATACTATCCATGATGAAACGCATGTCAGGCATGGGCGTGACATCGAGAATGGAGTTCGCGTTGCGATTTCTCGCATCGATTACAGTCCGTAAAGAACCGTCCTTCTTTGCAAGACAAAGAAGTGGAGCCGCCGTTGCGACCGCCTTGCGTTCCCACCATTGGGCTCGCTCATAACGAGTGATCTTTTCTCGAAGCTGCGGTTCGAGAGCCTGAGGGCACGTAGCCCTTCTTTCTATATATTTTTTTTTCGGATCAATCAAGTTGATCCGGTGGTTAACCTCCCTGAACGGAGGTAGGACTTCAGGGGCTGGCGCCATGATGTCTTTGAAACGTTCACGCCACCAATTCCTGAGTGGCACGAATTCAGGGTCTGTCATTGGCAGACCTTCTAAATGGGAACAGTCGGGAAGCCTGAGATCTTTCGACCCGGTAGCCTTTTACCTCTACCCCGTTGAATATAGAGCACATTTAAGCTTATATTTAGATGGACTAACTGAGGCCTGAGGCAAACGGGGGAACGGAACGTTACCGTCCCCAAATAAGTAAGCAACCTTTCACTTTTTTAAGCTTTAATGTGCTGTATATTCAACGGGGTAGAGGTAAAAGGCTACCGGGCCTTTACAACTACTCCGAGGTATATATATGTAATGTACATATCTCGGCACAAATTTCCAGCCTTCGCCGTATTGCGTCATGCCGTCTGTTTAGATGACAGTTCGGATCTCGGTGCACGGGGAAGTTTGGGGCGACCGCATGCAGCAGCCCCCACTGAGGTTTTACCCCGTTCCGTCAGGACATCAAACGTTTTGATGTCGCCCGTCTTTATGTGGACGGTGTGAGTTTCGAAATTGAGGGACGCTCCGTTGGCATTCAGCCACGGAGCTCCGAGAATGGCGTCGTAGCGGTCAATGTTGACGACGTCAAAATAGTGAGTAGACGTAACCCCGTGAATGGTTACAGGAGTATTCGTGCCGTACATTATGCACGAACGACTGTTTTTGGTCCCCATCTGGAGAACCAAGGGGTTTGGCAACTCGAGCAGTGGAATGTGAACTGCTTGGACAAAATCTGGAGATAGGGCGTCTGTTTCAGCGCCACTATCAAATAGGACAAAGGCGTTTACCCCGGCGATGTTAACCTCGCCAGTGAGCGTCCGCCTTAAGTCGGCGCTGCGGTTTTCAGGGTATTTACCTGCCTCTTGCGAGATTCTAAACTTCGCGTCGAATATTGGCGGGATTTTCTTCAGAAGCTTGTTAGGCACTGAAGAACTCATCACACTTTGCGTTGACGGTTTCCCCGATGAAGATTTTGGGACCGGTATAACACCGTCCCTCTTGTAGGTCTTTACTGCGTCGTCGACAAGCTCAGCTACTATCTGCTCATCAGATGGCAGTTTGTCTGCTTGCCGAGCAGACGCTAATTTAATGGAGAAGTTTTCGTCTGTGGGATCCACGAACGTCATAGCACCGACGAACATGTCGGCGTCCACTTCTACGTACTCCTCCTCCGCCTCAGCGAGGAGGTTGGGATCATATGGGTCGTCCACGAGTTTATCGTCGAACGCCTCATCGTCGGCCATATAGTCCTGCACCTCTGCAGGATCTTCAACACCTTCCGGTTCTTCTACAGGCTCCGAGTCCTGTAGGTCTCGTTCGTCAGACTTGACCGCTATGTTGTACATGCGCGGTTTGGGCTTGTCGTGATTTGGGCAATCACATTGATAGCCTATTTTCCCGCATTTAAAACAACGCGGTTTCCCATCCTTATCCAAGGATGGCGTCGATTTCGTCGCTGTAGACGACATCGATTTCTCTGTTTTTGGAGCCGGCGAATAGCTCACACGGAAGGTTGAGCGTTGTCCGCTCTTCAGAGCTGACGTGTTTCCCCCGAATGTGTTTTTGTACACTTTCTTGGCGGACGAAGAATCAGCAGCTTTTTTGGGTGCTGCTGCGGCGTTGGCTTGTTTTTGCATCGTTTTTGACGTGGCTGGCGCTTGCGAGTCGTTACGATATGCAGAGATGGCCTTAATTGAATCGTATGCGTGGTCCAGGCGGAGCACGGCGGTCCACAACTCGTCTTTCGTTGTGTAGTCCACGGAAATGTCGTGGCGCATAACCATCTCCCAACGCATTTCGCCAGGGATGGCGTTCAGGAAACGTTCATTGAACGTTGCCTGGTCAGGAGGCGTGATCATCTCCCCAGCTGCACGATACAGCTGGTTATAGAAGTGTTTGATTCCCTTCGCGGAATCGTATGAAAGCGTTTTGAACGCTTTCGTGGATGCTACTGCTGCAGACTTCTTGATGAAGGTGCAGATAAGGATCTCTAGTAGATCCCAGAATGGGGGGGTTACCCCGTTCTGCACTCCAATGCGTATATAGTGCATCAGGAGGTCTTGTGCCTCGCCTTCAACGGCGGTTGTCAAAGTGTGGACGTGAAACTCGTTGTAAGCTTCACCCTTCCACCCACACGACGACATATAGGCTAGCCAGGAGTGCAGCCAGTTGTGGAATATCTTCGAGTTATTCTCTCCAGACCATTTGATGGTCGGAGTCAGTCCCTGCATCTTCTTGAGCAGTTCTGGGCGTACATCTGCAGGCAGTGGCTGCAGGATTCAGACCTCCACACTTCGGCGTGCAGATTCAAGAAGCTGAGTCATGAACTCAGATGGATCAGGCACTACTCGTGCCGCCGGTGCTGCGTATGAACGCATGGTTGAGTCAAACAAACCGGGTCGTACAGACGAGCGGTTTGGAAAGTTGGATGAAGGCTCCCATTTTGCTTCGGTGCCAAATAGGTCAGGAAATGGTGGGTTGGGCCAGGACGAGCCACCCTCGCCACCATCCTCGTCATCACCATCGCCACTCGGACGGCGGGGCCTTCTTCCCGAGTTAGACCTAACTTGGTCTACACGCCTCTTGCCCCCTTCTGGAGCCGCAGGCGGTTGTGAGAATCGGTGGTAGTTATCCAGCACTCGTCTGAGTGCTGTGCCGTGGGACAGTCTTTCGGGGTCTTCACCGTTTGCCCCACGACCCACGTTGTATACGAATGCTGCGTCTGCATCCAGACGGGTGTTAAAGTCAAAAGTAGATTCGCTGAGACTACGCTTAGCGAAGATAGGTCTGACCTTGGTGGGCTGTCCGCCAATGTCATCTACATGATCCTGGACGTAGATCGGGCGTTTTTTTCGTGCGTAGTAATCGTACGGAACACTGGTGGCTTCTGCATCACCGTCTTCCTCTTGTATCATCTCCACAGTGGCCTTCATCGGCACTGCTTTCTTTCTCCCGTGGTCGGGAGGGAAATTACGCGTTTGAGTAGCGTCAATGCTTGGTATCTTCACCCCACTGTTCGTGGGTTGGGACGACAGAATGAACGGCGCGGGCACGAAGCCTGGCCTGAAATGAAATGGAGAAGTTCCACTCTCCCCTGTAATCGATGATCCAGCCAGTTGTCCTGGGTCGATCTCCCTACCCTTTCCTTTGGCGTCAGTGGTTACTGGCGCCATCGACGGGGTAGGTGGCTTCGTTCCACTAAAGATAGGAACAAAACGTCCGTCAGATTCTTGTACCTCGACAGACGCGCGTGAACTTGTCGCCTCTGTGACGACGGCAGAGACAGTGGGGATCCCTCCAGGTATGGGGACCCCACTGATTGGTTGACCCGTTGGATTAACGGGGACTACAGGGACCTCCTGGGGCGCTTGCGCCTCCACAGCGGGTTTAGTGATTTGTTGACCCGTTTGATTAACGGGGACTACAGGGACCTCTTGGGGCGCTTGCGCCTCAACAGCGGTTTTTTTCGTCTGGTCAGAGACGACGATGGGGTTTCCACCCGTTGTTGGGTTCACTGGAGGGTTTGCAGATGGGTTATCCACCGTTGCTGCGGGTGGCTTTGGCTCGTCACGTCGAGAGAGCGCGAGGAGAATTTCATTAAGTTTCTCATTAAGTCTTTCCTCCACCTTAATGATGTTACGATCTAGATGAGCGATGTTGTCGCTATTCCCAGAGATCTGGGTATTCATGTTACGGACATCGCCTCTCAAGTCGGCGATGTCGTCGTCAACTTGGTCGACGCGATTTCTTAGTACTCGCGCCGTTTCAGACGCGAGGGAGTGGGTTGGGGATGGAGGACGCGACGCGCGCATTGGGACGAATGCCGCAAGAGTCTCCGCTGTGAGGGCTTCAGACGTTGTGACTTCGTCAACGTCTCTCATATAGGTGGGACGCGTCTGAGATGCGTCCCTGGGCCCTTGCAGGCCCAGATCGCCACCATCACTTGAGGTGGTGTCGTCTTCCGCCCTACAGCTAGTGGAGGGGCCGGCCGTGTTGGTGGGAGCGTTGGACGTGCTCCTGGTGTTGTATCTCCACGACATCCAGAAGAGGTGTCGAGTTGTTCAACAAGTTCGCGTGAGAACTTGATCGAAGTCGCGCGTTGTCAGGGGCCGATGACGCGCGCGTTGCCGAATGGGGTTTCGGCGCCGGTAACGCGGTGCCGAGAATGGAAAAGAGAATAAGAGCGTAAAAAAGTGAAAGGTTATCTTACTAGTTTGGGGACGGTAACGTTCCGTTCCCCCGTTCGCCTCAGGCCTCAGTAATCCGTCTAAGTATACGCTTGATTTGGCTGTATATTGACGGGGTAGAAGTAAAGGCTAATCCGCCTTTTACAGCTACCCCGAGGGTTTATATACAATCTTATACATTCTCAGCACAAATAAATAGAGAAGCTTCCGCGACGCTAAATTAGCGTCGCGACATAATTATTACACAACACAACATCAACTGATGTTGTGGGCGGAATATAGACATGGGCCGGGGCCTCACACTAGATTCCCGGCGTTTTTTCTCATTGATGGCCTTAGTTTGTTTCGCCAGAGCTGGGACATCAAACCATTGGTGGGATGGGGGATTATGGAGATTGGCGCCAGGAGTGTTGTCTGTCTACAAATACTAATGAGATGAGTATCAGTGATTGCAGTGATTTGGAAGTACATACCCATTGTTGTGCCCACAAAGACAGCATTGCATTGCTCAGGTGCAAATGCTTCCCACTTGCGTGGGTATGTGGCCAACAGTGACCACCACATTTCTGACATTCCCACCTCTTACCAAGCAGCACATACTGCTCCGAAGTCGGGTTGGATTGAATCGCGTCGTTTACTGTATTAGAACAACAGCTTTTTCCATGCTTGTCGTCAGCTTTGGGTACTGGTTTCTGGTGAGTTGGTATATCACATATAGGTGACATGTAGATAATGTTTTGGAACTTACAATATTGACAATGTATAATTTTTTGCTTGCCTGGGCACGAGACATGCAGTTGCGGAGTCCATTTAGCACCTTTTCCATGTGCGCGACAGTCTTGAGCTGGACTGGCACATCCCACCGTTGCTTTCCATCGAAAGTTGGAAGGTGCCCAATGTTGTGCTCAGTGACATTGATGCCCATCCCCTCCTCGATTTTCTGGAGTGCAAATTGGGCAGAACAATCAATGGGCAAATGGAGACTTGCCTCCATTGCCACCTTCTTCGGATTGAGTGTGTCACATTGGTAGCAGATTTCGAGTAATTCTACTCAAGTCATTGAGTGAAGCTCATAGTAAGTGAAAAAACTACATACTTTCCAATCTTTCATTGGATGCAGAGTTCTTTGTGTCAGGGGCCCGGGTTGGGTTAAGCATGGCAATGGGTGGGGAGGAAGTCGGTTGCTGTGGTAGGAACATGGTTTGTTGCCCAGGGAAGGAAACCATGGGGTATGCGATGGGATATGGAGGGTATGACAGTTGAAGTGGAGGTGGGACAAGGACTGCGCTGTTGCAGCTTGGGCAGAAGGAACGGCGACTGCAGTATTGGTAGCTTGTAGCCTATGTTGCATTCCCTGTACCGCTTTCTGCTTTTGTGCAATAAATTCTTTGCACTTCATCCGCATTGGATCATCAAGTGGTAGTGCTTCCCCTGAATGGAATGGTGGCAAAGTCAGTGTTTATCCAACTACATTTACGGTAATTTTCTTACAATTTGGTGGGAATGGAATAGTCCAGTTTTCAGGTGGCCAATTATGGGCTGAAGGATCAAAAGCGTCAAGGACTCTGTCAGAGTCATCGGGCAAATATCGGGCATCTCCTGTTGCGAGGTAGTATTGGAATGCCTGCTGAGGTGTCTTGGGAAGGGGGTGGGGGGCTGACCCTGTGATATGGTCATCATTCCAACATGCACGCTTATCCTTGTTAAGAACATAATAATCCAGAGTGTATGTCTCTGGCATCGTATAGGCAAAGAGTTACGAAGTTTTTCCTGAGGATTCATTAAAGTGAGGAATCTGTTTCAAAGCCTGTATTTATGCAAATAGAGAGCTTCATTGACAGCTCTGCAGTTGGACTTTCTGGAATGCACGATGGCATGGCTGACACTATTTTCGAATGGCTGTCAATGGCTGTCATGATTCAAAATATGCGGCAATCACACACAATATGAGGACCATATTGACAGTTATTCAGATAGCCAGTCTTCGCTGATGTAGTCATTATTGATAATGATGGGGGATGCGGAAATGGCCACACAGCGCTTATTCTACTGTATTAGCATATTTTTTTTGAATTGAAAATAAAAAATTCCGAATATTTACTCATTTTGTTGATATTTTTTTTACAAAAGGGTTCAATACCCTTTCACTTTTTGACTGCCACTTTCTCACAAAACTGCTGTAGTTCTCATGCATATTGCTTGAGACTGAGCTATTGTCAGGGATCAGCAATGACCCTGGACCCTATGCCAGCTGCACATATGTGCGTGGGAAGTATGCCGGCAATTCCCGTCTACTCCGCTTACCTAAGCCCCGGTGGCCTGGATCATCTCTGGCATTGTTCTGGAACATTCTATGATCATGTGATTCTATCGGCGATCTGTTTGGTTTCCTTATTGCCGGACTCTACATGTACATATATAGCTGACCCTAAGATGGCGACATTCCTTTCCCCTGGCTTTAATCACAACTAGGTTATTGGTGCAACCTGCACAAGCATGCGTGTCACCTGACAGCTATTGTCACTATGTCAGGATCCGGACCCCAGCTGGGAGTGGCTGGAGGGTGAGGCCAGGTGTGGAAGCTGGGGTATTCTCCCCAGCTGCTTGAAGTTATTGGAATATCAATGTCCATGCATACTAATATTTTCTTTATTGATGCGATATCAATTGAGGATATCATATATACCTTTTGTCTTGATGTCCTCTTCATTGCCGGTTATAGCAGGCAGTCACTATAAGTGATATTAGTGCTAGGTGTATAAAACACACTGTGCACGGAAATTTTTCACACCCCCTCAGTTCTCTTGTTCTTGTTTGAGACTGAGGTGATATACTTTTATTTACTTTATTCCTTGTATGTGAGTTCTGACTGTGTTTACAGACCACACATATAGGTAAAGGAACAATAAATCAGTTCTCTTGTTCGAGACTGTGTCAGGGGACGACTCCCGGGTCCCCATGACCCTCCCTTATGGCCCACAGCCTCAGGTCTGGCCAGCCCTATCCAGGGCACAATCTACTGTGGGTAAGGAGATGTATAGATAAAGGCAATGTAGAATACACTTGCCTACTGTGGGTAAGGAGATGAGAAGGAAGCTAACTTCTCATCTTCCCACAGTGGCCACAATATCAGCAAAACTTCCAGGGATACCCAGAAGTCACATGAAGGGGTAGGAACCGGGCCCGGAGCATGCGGTGTGCGGAGCGTGCGCACGTGTGGGAAGCACGGCGGGTGGAAGCGGGTCCGGATCCGGGCTAGTCAGGGTGTGTGCCCTGACAGACTGAGACCACATGTATAGTGCTTATTTACATTAGAAGTCGCTGAGGGGACTAGCCTCAGCCTTCACAGGGAATGAGCTGAGAAGAAGGGTAAGCTTCTCAGCCCCCTGTGAGGCCAACACAAAAGGACCCTAGGAACTATACAGTTCCCGCTTGCTGCCGACTTTCCATAACAGGTGTGACCTGTGGGAAAGTTCTGGGCGAGCTGCTCACCCCCCCAGAATGTTCCCACGGTCACGTGTCCTGGGCAAGTTACTCTCCCAGAAAATTCCTGTGGCTGTGGCTGTGCATTTCTGGGCGAGTCGCTTGCCCAGAACATTCCCATGGGTTCGCACACGCACATCATTGTGTGAAACAGTGGGGGAAGGATAGGGGGAATGGGGAAATGTGGGGAGAGGGTGGTTAGGGAAAGGGTGAGGGTGTCTGAGGGTGAGCGGGGTCAAGGGCTGTGCCCTGACACACTAGAGCAAGCAGTTATTCCGTTAAATGTTAATGTATTGCATTAGCCACCCAGCACTCATTTCGAGTTCAGTACAACCGTGACCCCGTTTCTGTGTCAGGGACGCATCCAGGGTGGAGGGGGCCCGGATGTAGCACCCAGCAGAGGGACCCTCCTGGGGTGCGAAGTGGGTGTGTGTGCTGGCAGGCCCAATGCGGGACAGCAGTCCCTGGCCACTTAGACTGAAGTGGAAAAGGTGAATTGTTATTAAAAGGGAAGACTTGTTAGACACTGGTCCGGGGTCGGCACTGAGGGTCACCATTGTGGGCTGCTATAGGCCATGATGGCTGTGATGCCATGAACAAGGCCCGAGGGTAGGGCATTTGGCCTCAGCAACTCTAAAGGAGCGCTGTGCCCCCTAGCTGTCTCTTGGCCCTCATTTCAGACTCACTGGGGTTGCCTTGCTGGGGTCAGGACTTGGGGGTCATGGTCAAATCGATATTAGAGCTAAGGTACAATAAAGTATCATACAGGATATATATAGGGAGAAAGAATGAATGGAAGCGGACCCGGGCCGAAGGCCGAAGGGTCCGGAAGCAAACATCAATAAGGGGCGGGGTTGGCTGCATAGCAGCCGGCAATGACCGAGGGTCAAAACAAACAATAACAGATAAATAAAAGGAAGGAGTGTAGGGCCACGATAGCGGCAATGGTATCATAGTGGCACTGGACTCAGAGTTGGGCCAGAGTCAGGCATGGGAATGGTAGCGGCCCTGTAGGGGCCAAGTGGGTGGGGTAGAGGAGTCATGCTGGGCATGGTGCCAGAGGCGGACTCAGGGCAGGGAGGTTGGTGTGGCTGTGGGGGAGTCGGCCAGGTGCAGGGGAGCCTAGGGGCAAGCAGGGGGGTGAGCAGGGAGTCCTCAAGGAGAATAGGGATGAGGGTTGGGGCTCGCGCTCATGCTTGTGCAGCAGGACGGGCTCGGGTGGCATCAGGATGGGTGGGGAACAGGCCGGAATGCACGGCCGTGACAAGACTACACTACTTACCTGAAGTGGAAAAGGTGAGAAGAAGGTTACTTCTTTGGTTCCCACTTCAGGTACATTTATGTACATGTGGCTTGAGTCACATGACGAGTGCCACATCATCCTTGGAGACAGCCGCAGTCATCTGGGTGTCCCTGCAGGGGATCCCAAGAGCATCCACTGCAGGCATGCATGCTGGGCACAGCAGGAAGCTGTTCAGGGTGTCTGGGCTGGACAGGTCAATAGTACATTGATACAGGGGAAAGTGGTCCATGTAAATAGAAGGAATAAACAAGAAGAGAGTGATGGGAAGAATGAAATAAAGAAAAGGGAAGAAAGAGAGAGGGGAAAGAGGGAGGAAGGAGGAAGGAGGAAGGAGGAAGGAGGAAGGAGGAAGGAGGAAGGAGAGGAATGGGCAGCAGGGCAGCAGGGCAGCGGGGCAGCAGGGCAGTGGGTGAGGTGTGGCCAGGTGGACCCGGGTGGACCCAGGTCAGGTGGGTGTGCCCTGACATCACCCCCTCCTTAAGCTGCTTCACCCAAAAGCAGCCAGGCGGTTCTCCCTCTCTCTCCCTGGGGCTAGGGGATGTGTCCTGTGGAATTTCTCAATCCAGGAGGGGGCATGGGCTAAGTGGTCCTGCTGGAGCCGTTGGTTCTCTGAGCTTGGCCAACCAACGAACTTTACCAGATACCAGAGTTTGCGGCGTAGCCACTTAGAGTCCAATACCTTCTCAACCTCGTACTCCTCTTCTCCATCTACAAGTTCCGGGCCTGGGTGGGGGTCAGTGGGTCGTTCTGCGATATCGTCTGGGTGGTGTGACCTGATGTTCATTACGGACACGACTGGGTGAACTCCCTTCTGTCGTGTGGTAAGTTGGAGTTTGACAGTGGCTGGGGAAACAACTTTGACGATCTTGAAGGGGCCAAGCCATTTGTGGTCCAGCTTTTTGGTCGGGCGGTCGGTCATGTAATTCTGGGTGCTAAGCCAGACTTGGTCACCTTCTCAATATTCTGGGGCCGTTTCATGGTCTCGGTTGTAGTAACGGGCCATCTTGTCCACTGCGTGTTCCAATGCAGCCTTCGCCTCCTCCTGCATTTTCATCATCCTTGACAAGAACCCATCAGTGGCTTCCACTTTGGACATACATGTGGGTTCTGTCCCCATTCTGGGGTGCTGGCCAGTGTCAAGTTCGAAGGGGGTTCGGTGGGTGGATGAGTGGATGCGGTTGTTGTAGGAGAATTCCGCTAGCAGGAGCCAAACTGCCCAGTCATCCTGTTGATGGTTGATGAACACCCGGAGGTAGGCTTCGATCTCTTGGTTGACCCACTCAGTCTGTCCATCCATCTGAGGGTGGTAGGGTGTCGAGGGGGTCAGTTTGACGCCGAGGAGGTCCACGAGCTCCCTCAAGAAGTGGGAGATGAAGGCACTCCCTCTGTCGCTGAGGATCTCCTCAGGGAGCCCATGGTGCTTCCAAACATGCTCTAGGAAGAGCTGTGCGATACCCTCCGAGTCTACAGTCGTCACAGTGGGGACCACATGGATACGTTTGGACAGGCAGTCTGCTACCACCAGGATGGCATTATAGCCCTTGGACTCTGGGAGTTCTCCCACCATATCACCTGCCAGCGATGGGTGGGGACCTTGTTCGGGGTAAGCTTCCCAACTTTTTGTGAGGGGAAGGATTTGACACAGTTACAGGTGTCGCACCTGCGTACATACCACCCAACATACTCTGCCATCTGGGGCCACCAGTAGTCGCAGGAGACAAGTTCCAGGGTTTTCCACCACCCCGGGTGCCCTGTTGCCTGTGCATCATGGTGTAGCTGCATGAGGTCATGGCGGAGTTGGGGGTCTTTTGGGATGTACACCCTCCCCTGGTATAGGATCAGCTTGCCTTGCCTTTCCCATTCATCCGACCTTAATGTCCCCTCTCCCAGCTCTTGCATGGCCTTTACTACTCTCTCATTGTGATCCTTTGCCCTGCATATCCGATCTAAGATGC